ATCTATTCTCTTGATGGAATTTGAGTTTTTTATGTTCTTGCAAGCAAAACTATCTTAACAAATACATTGTGTAAACTTGGGCACATTTTCATTACCCTTTTTAACTTTAGTCCCTGATTTATACGGTAGGGTTAAAATAGCACTGAGCAGTGAGTTTCAATAATGCTTGAAAAAATGCTTAGCACAGTGCTTGGTACAAAATAAGCATCCAATAACCAGTAGCTATTTTCATTATGTTTGCAGTTCTAGACATTATGCTAAATACTTTAAATACATCATTTTACTTAATCATTGCATCAAACTTTGAGGTAGAATGTGTTACCATTTCACCAATGAAAAAAATGAAAGAGAATTTATGTGACTTGCCCCACAGCTACCAAGAGGCAGAAATTTCATGAAGTATGACTGTTACTTCTTTTTTTATTGTTGTTTGATCCTTTGAGCAGAATATTGATGTTGAGGGTAGGGTGTTAGTAAAATATTAATTGAATTTCTGCAACGTGCTAAGAACTGTTAGGTCCTAGGCATACAGCAATAAATACACACTGCTCCTACTCTCTTTGAGCTTAGCTTGAGAGTATACAGCCTTACAATTATGTAGAGCATAAAAGAGATTAGATTGAGTTTGTGTCTTGTCGTTATTATTAACAAGCTCTTAACTACTGAACTCACCAGCCAACATCTAAATCTTATAGGCAAACAGAAAACACTGACAGAATATAAAACATACAGTGGCTGTTTCCATATAAGATTTAAAATATATGTATATATACTACATTGGAACTGTCTTTTAATTTCTAAACTCATGAGCTGAAATGTAACATTTCTTTTGACTATTGATTCCGTGGATTAAGGAAAAAAACAACCACCACCAAAAAAAAAAAAAAAAAAAAAAAACTTTACCATTTCATGCATACTGTAAAGATATTATCCATATAATCTCTCTGCTCTTTCTGACATGATGTCAATTTGTATGTTTTCTAGTAAGTTTCAACAACACAATTAGATTGACAATGGGATGGAAGAAAAAATACACTAGGGTCTCCACTTGCTATTTTACTGGAAATTTAATGGCATGTTTTACTTTTTACTTCTAGGTGACATTCTCCAAATGTCTTTACATGTTATTGAGTGCCTCTTACAAAACTCCAATCACTAGGAGTGTAAAGAATGACTAGATGGAGAACAGTTAATCTGAACCTTCTCCTTCCAAGCACCGTCTTGCATGCAGATCAAGAAATACCTCACAAGCAATCTAGAGTAAGCCCTAAAATAAAATACATAAATAGGCTCTGAATTCATCCTCTTAACAACTAGGTAAATATTCTGTCTAAGGAAATTTAACAGTGTCAGGACACATTCCAGATGTGATTTCACAGGTTCTCACAGGTAGGAAGAGAGATTCCACGCTCCTACCCGGCATCGCCCCAGGCTTTTCATGTCAATTTTGATAGAAGGGTCTGAGGGCCTAGAAATTATCCAGTAGATAACACAAGTGATCTTTGATTTTATAATTACAAGATTTTTACTTGTACTGACGCCATATATGGGGAACCTAACAAACAGTTGATAAGTCTTTGTTCCTTATCTTTTGATGGCTTAGTCTTAGATACCTGACAGTAGTGAAAAATGGACCACTTTGTAGTTGAAAAGACCTAGTTTTGATCTTTCTAGGAGACAGCTTAGGTATATTATTTAACCTGTTTCTCACTGCAAAATGAGAATAATAAAACCTACAAACTAAGGTTGTGGAATAAATGAGATAATATAGGGTCCAGCTCATAGCAGGAACTCAATAAAAGGTAGTTCCTTTCCCCTTTAATTCACTAAGATATTATTTATTTAGGAGCTCTGGTGGCTTAGTGCCTAAGGCATCTGATGCTAACCTGAAGGCTGGCAGTTCAAACCCACAAGCCACTCCTTGGAAGGAAGATTGAGCAATCTACTTCTGTAGAGATGCTGACTCAGAAACCCAAGTAGGAGTCACTATGAGTCAGATCCAACTCGATGGCAATACATTGAGTTTTTTGTTTCGTTATTATTTATTTAATGTAATGGTTTCAAGAAAAATGTCCATCTTAAGAATGTAACCTTAACATCACTAGGCCTCATCAGTTTTAGAGTACAAATATAACTGTTATATAATAAT